CTCTGTATAATGTAGTTTAAGACCATGTTCACGATCACAGTGACTGATGCATATAATTATTGATACCTGAAATATTTGAAGTGTGACATGTACCTATTTACATGTCATATATTCAGAGATAATCAAGATGACTAAAAGAGTGGTGGGTTACTATTGTTACACTTCACTTGTATCAAAGGTACAGTGACTCAATACCACCCACATAGTAAAATCATAATAGCAGCTTGCATTTAAGAAAATCATGATATGGTAAAACCTAAAGTAATATTAATCCTGTTGTAAAATATGGGAATAAAAAAGATATTACAGAACAATTCCATGACCTAATGTGATTAGCAGGCTTTAGACCACATACTTTTATGCAGGTCATTGAAATCAGATGTTCTTTCTATTTTACAGAAATATGTCAAATGAAAAAGCTAATTAACTGCATCAGACTTTTATTTGTAATTGTAAAGATTCCTTGCCTGCTAATTAAACAGTTTTAGGATAAAATTGCATGAATATGTAATAGAGTAATATCAATAAATATATAAATGGACACTGGAAATGGTACTTTTCTTGGTAAACCCTGGTACAATTTCTTCCAGTAAGAAGTCATTACTTAGGTTTTTCCTTAGTGTGGCCAGTGCTCTGATCGCAAGACATTAGAAGACTGCCAACTCCCCAATGATTGGGGAATGGGTGATAGAGATATGCAGTTTGATGAGGATAGAGGGAAAGGGTGCACAACAACATGACAGTTGTGAGATCTTTCACTGAAGGTGGACCCCCTTGATCTTATATATGAAAATAGATGATTTTAGGACCTTGATGTAAAGTTCTCTATTTTATGAGTTTGATTAGGCTGGTAGAGTGAAATATGAATCCCATTTTTGAAGAATATGGGATCTGTCTCTCCTACTGACTCTTCTGCTTTTTTTTTTTTTTTTTTGGTTTAGAATAAAACACGAATAGAACATGAAATTTTGATACTGAATGATATGTTTTTTGTGTTTTTCCCTTTTAACTCTCCTTTTTTTTTTTAAAAAAAAAATGCAATAAAAATAGATTTAGAAGTATTGTAAAGATTGCTGTTAAGGATTCTTTTCTATGTGATCTGGCCAAGTGGTAAAAATAATGAGTCTACAGTTAAAGTTTTTAAAAATGCATATATTAAGTGGAAGTAAAGATACAAAAAGTGAACCCAAGGAGCAAGCATTTCAATAGTGATAACTAGCACTAAAAGTACTATGAAGCTGAGTAAAGGAAAGGAGGGGGGAACAATATTATGCACTAAAGCACAAACTCAAAGGTAGATTCAAGGTTATAACTAGGAAGGCAATAAACAAGACAACCTAAGTAAAAAGTAGAGTAAACAGCAGGGTTAGAGCAGTGTACTAAAGCTAAATAAAAGCTAGCAGGGAATTTTATAAAGAGTGTCTACAACGCCCTTTACAATTTGATTGTGCCCCCACTGTCAGGGAAGGCTTGCCCATAGTGCAGATAAAGGCTCTTGGCACATAAATATGTGCATGCACAGACCAGCAACTGGCCAGGCAAATGTACGTGCACTCGCACACACAGCCAAGTGTCTGTCACTAATGCTGGCGTCAATCGAGCTATTTAAACAGGCTGCAGTATTATCTCATTGCTGTTTAGTCTTATGTATGTTTTTTTCTGATTCCTGTGCCTGAACTCTGATCCTGACCTGGCTTTCTCCTGACCTCTACTTCTCTGCTACCTGCCCCAACCTCCAGATTGTCATATTGCATTGCATTTTACAAAAAATTACAGAGGCTGCAGATTTAAAGGAAAAGTTGATTTTTACTAACATTCAATCACAATATGACTTGTGTCGCAATTGTATACACTATAATATTTTTTTATTTGCTATTTTTTTCTCCACAAAAGTGGAGTTACCCTTTAAGATAAGTGTTTAGTTAAATAGTATGTGGTAAGAGTTAAGTAGTAAGCAGAGGTGATTTCTTTAAAAAATTGGTGCAGTAATAGTACCACTTCCAGATGGGAATTCCAGGTTACATCATATCTGCTTTTGGAGAGCACATCACGTACAGATAGTGGTGTTTCCAGGTTAACAAGCTGTCCTTATTATTCCAAATGCAAATGCATTGGCTTTTAATATCTTAACTAATAAAGCAGTATTTCATAATGAGAGGCTTTTCTTCCTTTTTCCTTGTACTTGCCTTGTATATTTCGGCTGCAAAATGAGCTACTGCAGTCAGGTGAAGAACCATGATGGAATACTGATCAGAGTATTGATCACATCAGTACCTTGGGCTCATTTACGCATTTTGACTAATTTTTTAACACAAGGGGTCAATTCCTTCTGGTGACTGTGGTGGGAAGTTGGGATCATGGTTTGGAGGGCATCAGAAGGTACTCACGTGGAATATGGGTGAATCACACTAGTGTTGATGTGTTTGGAGTGGCACAGAGCGCCATTACACAATTTGGATTTTCTGATTACACAGATATGTTGGACTGATTATATCACTCAATCAATTTATTGTTTTCCATGTGTTTATTATTATAGTTTACATAGAGCTGTTATTTTCACAGAGCTGTACCCTGTTCTTGGGGTTTCTTTAACTATTTGCCCTACTGAGGATTTACCCCCCTCTCCCTTCAAGACCAAGCCATTTTTTTTGCGACACAGCACTGCATTATTTTACCTGACAAGTGCGCGATCATGCGATCATGCAAGGCTGCACCCAAATGAAATTTATGTCCTTTTTCCCCATAAATAGAGCTTTCTTTTGGTGGTATTTGATTGCCTGTGCATTTTTATTTTTTGCGCTATAAACAAAAAAAACAGACAATTTTGAGAAAAAAAAAAATATTTGTGACTTTTAGCGGGACTGTGGTGGGCATTCTGACACTGGGGGGAACTGACTTGTTGTCACCGACATTCCCAGTGACACCAATACAATGATCAGTGTTAATAAAAAGCACTGACACTGTACTAATGGCACTGAGCAGGAAGGGGTTAACATCTTGGGCGATCAAAGGGTTGACTGTGTGCTCTTTCACAGTATGCTGTGTGTTTTCCACTGTAAGCACACTGCTTTGCATGGCTCTATTAGCATATTCTAATGTAGGTACTGCTGCAACTCTCAAAAACAAATTAGTGTACATAACCTACTTTTACTTAAAATTTACATAAAGCCCAAACTTGAATAGAGTAGGGAAAGGTTTAAAACAACTTCTGGGTAATTTTGCTGTCTGTGGCCCTGAGGGAAGATTTTCTTTTTATTTATGTCCTAGATATGCAATAGAAAATGAAGGTAGATACTCCAAAGCAAGAGGGATTTCCAGCATCTACGGTTGTCACTGGAACATTTACCCCAAATGGGAGAATTTTCTTAACCTTTTGATCTGGTGACAACTCTAAAATGTTAAACTTTTCCTAATTTTCTGTCTTGGTGTCAATGGTCATCAAGACAAATACAGAGTTTGAATCTCCCTGCAGGGACCCAAGCAACAATAGAAACCTGACAGAGGGTCTAACCTCTCACCATTAACAATCTAAAAAAATGTCTTACTTACACTTTAAGTTCACTGGATCTCTTTATCATGACTATAGTTTTCATTTAACAGAAAGTCATAGAACCTAAGGTGGTGCAGCCACTTTTAGGTCTCTAATATCAATAGTCATAGAGAACAAGTAAGGGCCACATAATGCTGTGCTTGTTGAGGCTTTATATGATGTATGTTGGAAGTTTAGAGCATACAGAAGATTAACCAACGATGGAGGTAGAATGTGAAGATATCTGAGGTTGTAAAAGGTCACTGCCTCGTGGATTATTAAATTACCCATGGTAACTGCAAATTACTATTAATTACAATTTGTGCATGCATGGCATTGTGCGGCATCACTACAGAAGCTTACATTTTATTTTTTTGTTTAGTTTCATTAGGTTTTTATTGAAAGATGAGTTTCCAAACAGTCAATATATAGCAATAAGGAGGAAAGGGGGAGTGGAGAAAAACAAGGCAGGTTGAAGAGTCTAGGCAGTGGAAAGCTTTTATGACTGCAGAGTTATGGTGGAGGAGTCATAATATATATAACAGCAGAAAATAACAGTTGCATTTAAGGTGTTTGATTACAATTTAAAGAGGACTAACTATTGAGCATCCTCATAGGGCAGACATGGATTCTGAGGCCTTGTGAATGGATAAGATCATAGAGTCATAGAGTTGCTTCCATTCGCTGCTATGAATATATGAGTAAGACATGAATCTCTAGAGGCCAGGAATTCATGCCAATGCCCAATAAAGCCAGTTTTGGGCCTGGAGGGATATGGATACCAGTTGTATTCGAAGCAAACAAGAAGATTTTAGTCCAGAAGTTATGAATTACCAGGCAATGCCACCATATATGAGGTAAGGAGCCAGGCAGGTCACATTGTCTCCAGCAGAGAGGTGAGTGTTTTGGAAAAATTGAGGCACATTTAGCAGTGGTGTACTACTAGTTGTGTAAAAGTTTTTGCAAGGATTTCCAGTGGGTGATGCATTGAGAGTACTTCAATAGTAAAGAGGTTGCTGATTGCCACTGTTCTAATGAAGTTGAAAAGTGGAGCGAGTGTTCCCAAAGGGACATGGTAATACTTTTCTCCTTAACCTCCCTAGCGGTATGATTATGTCAGTATTTCTGTGCTCAAAGCGGTACATTGTTTTCAGTGGAAATATGTTGTTTTTTTTATTGTAGGCCTGTAATTCTTAGGAATAACTCACTGAAATCTGTTTAACCAACTTCTGCCCGCCATATAGTACAATGACGGGCGCAAGGTGGTTCTCTCATTCTGATAGGACGTCATATGACGTCCTTCTATTCTCACTGCGCATGCGCAGCTCAGGGAGCGTGCAGCGCGGCGATCGCCAGTGCGCTGTGTCCCTCGGACACTGATGATCCTCGGACACTGATGATCAATGTGCCCTGATGATCAGTGTGGCCCCAAAAGTGCCACCTGTCAGTGTCCATCAGTGCCAGCAGTCAGTGCTCATCAGTGCCCCGTATCAGTGCCACATCAATGCCACATATCAGTGCATACCAGTGCACATCAATGCCACATATCAGTGCCCATCTGAGCTGCCTTTCAATGTCATCCATCAGTGCCAGTCAGTGCCACCTATCAATGCCAATCAGTGCCACCTATCAGTGCTGCCAATCAGTGCCACCTATCAGTGCCAGTCAGTGTCGCCTATCAGTGCGCATCAGTGCTGCCTATCAGTGCCAGTCAGTGCCGCCTATCAATGCCAGTCAGTGCTGCCTATCAGTGCCGCCTATCAGTGCCATATATCAGTGCCAGTCAGTGTCGCCTATCAGTGCACATCAGTGCTGCCTAACAGTGCCAGTCAGTGCCGCCTATCAATACCAATCAGTGCCGCCTATCAGTGCCATATATCAGTGTCATGTATCAATGCTGCCTTTCAGTGCCCATCAGTGATGCCTGTCAATGCCCATCAGTGCAACCTACCAGTGCCTCCTCATCAGTGCCACCTATCAGTGTCCATCAGTGCAGCCTATCAGTGCCCATCACTGCAGCCTCATTAGCACACATCAGTGAAGGAGAAAAATCATTTATTTACAAAATTGTATAACAAAAACTAAGAAAAAACATTTTTTTTTCAAAATTTTCAGTGTTTTTTGGTTTGTTTAAGAAAAAATAAAAATCCCAGAGATGATTAAATACCACCAAAAGAAAGCTCTATCTGTCTAAAAAAAATGATAAAAATTTCATATGGGTACAGTGTTGCATTACCGCGCAATTGTCATTCAAAGTGTGACAGCGCTGAAAGCTGGAAATTGGCCTGGGCAGGAAGGGGGTGAAAGTGCCCTGTAGGCTAGTGGTTAAACAAGAGTCTAGTAGACATCTTTGGTGCAATAAAGTTTAATAAATTAAATCATAAATTATAATATAATTAAAAATAGTAATATAATAATAAATTAAATAATGTAATCAAATCAAACACATGGAACTCTGTCCAAACAATATTATGTAGACACTGCATTTTGTTTTAGAAAACATCATGGGTGTTGTAAATTTTGAAACACAGGACTGCAGAAAGTCTGATATTGCAATCAGGACAGTGGAACCTAGTTTCCTTGCGGATTTTTTTTCCACTCTCATCTCGCTGAGAGCAACATACCACGCACATCCGTGTAGGTGCTGCCTTTTTTTGGGTTGGTGGGATGTGGTCCATAAAATGACGTCCAGTCAGACGTTCTGGGTTGACAACTCCCACAGCACGTCGTCTGGATCTACCCACAGACACTGATGGTGTTTGATGCTTGAGGAAAATGGATTCCGCCACTTTCCATATAAAGTTTGCATGAACCACAGGCTTGTCACTGTTTTTGAGGAACAGAATATAGGCATTCCACAAGCACTGTTCCAGAAGATGCCAGAAAATCTTTTTGTAGTATGTCCTCTGCTGCTTTCTCATCACTGGATAGAAAGTCATAGCTTGGTCAGCTCTGTCAACACCTTCCATGGTGCTGTTGTAGTCAACGACTACCTGCGGCTTCTGGATGTTTTTCCCACCTTTTGTTTGTACCATCACTGTGGAGGCATTGTGAACGGTACTCATTAGGCACACATCCTTCTTGTCCCGCCATCTAAGTGAAATCATTTTGCCTTTCTGCTAGGCAACTAATTCTCTAAACTTCAGTTTGTTTTTTACAAACATGGATGGCAGGTTGTGCCGGTTAGCCCAAACGGTTCCATATGCATCTGTTTTGTGCTGAAGAAGAACCTCGTAAAGTCTTGGAGAGGTGTAAAAATTTGTCCATCGCTACACAGTAGCCTTGGTTTAGCAGAGGCTCAATCAGTGACAGGACGGAAGATGTTGCCATTCCGTAGTTGCTGTACTTGGGATCAAATTTTGTGCCTTTGCCGGTGTATATGACTGTGTTCCAGATGTAGCCGGTAGAGGATTTGCACAGCAGGTAGGATTTGATGCCAAATCGTTCTCTCTTGGACACGATATACTGTATCCAGCTGAGCCTTCCTTTGTAGACCATTAGACTTTCGTCTATGGTAATGTCTCTCTCTGGCACATAGCTCTGTTGAAAATTTCTTACAATTATTTGGGAGACTTCCCAAATTGTTTTTTTTTAGCTTGGGAGCCGTATGAGTCATTCATCAAAATCCTCATTATTTGCAAAGTGCAAAAATTTCATAATGAGGGAAAACCTGTACTCCGACATGACAGTGTCAAAGAACAGCGTGGTGAGCATTTTATTTGTGGTCCAGTACCACTTCTGCAGTGGTTTCCACACCACACTCCTTGTGGAATAATTAGGCTGAGAAACAGCCAAATGTTCTCTTTGGTGACAGGCTCCCACTTTCTGCTTCGTGAAAATTGGCTGTGTGGAGCAGCTAGTTGTTGCGCTGCATACCTATTTGTCTCCGTCACGATCATTTCAATAACCTCATCGGTCAGAAACAATTCCAAGTGCGCCAAGGGGTTGTCACCTTCAATGTGGATTTTCATACCAGGCACTCCGGTAAATAGAAATGCTGGCGTATCTCAATCAATAGTGCACCACGTGTGCAAATCACTCACGTCAATCTCAGATTCGCCGCTGTCTTCACTTTCAGTGTCTGAAGACAAATCACCACATGAGTCACTATCACTCAATTCAAGTAGCTCCTCACTGTCGCTGTTCGCTAGCTCATCATAAACCGCTTTAGCGCTAGCGAGGCGCTTTTTGGAAGCCATGATTGCAAAAACCGTTTTTAGTCCCAGAAACTGAAAAACTGCACTATGGAAATATCTGAGGTAAAGTTACCATGTATGCACTAGAGTAACACTTTACTTTGACACTGATCTATTTTTATAACTCCCGCCTCCCACCTTTCGCAGCACGGCAGACTCATGCTGATCACACTGATCAGCATGAGATCCCATGTAAGCAGGGAAGGAGACTGGGGATGGACGGAGGGGATGGCTGCATGCGGCTCAGGACCCGGGACACGGATCGGCACCAGGTAATTTGTTTGCGGTGAGCCCGAGTCTTTCTCGGGGTTACCGCTTTTGACAGCTAGATTTAACCCCGAGCTAGACTCGGGAAATCTGCTAGGGAGTTAAGAGATGATTTGAATAAGAGCATGTATATAGAGGAGATCCCTTTTCAGGATACACTAGCAGATTCAAAGAGCTCGAGAATATCATCCACAGTTGTGAGGAATTTAACCATTAGCCGCCCGGCCAATGGCCGTTTGGCGGCTTCAGAAGTGTCTCTTCACTCCAGGTGCACGCCATTTGGCATGCTCCCGCACATGCGCCGTTTGCGCTAATGCAGAGCGGCGCAGCAGTGCGATCTGTCACCGGCCGTGCACCTCGGACACGGTCGATGACAGATCCGAGTACCGGCTCCCGTTGCTGGTACCATCTGACCTGCTGTGACCAATCACAGCAGGTCACATGACAGTTGTATACAATGGATGGCTTCATTCATGATGCCATCTATTGTATACTAGTGCCTAGCTGTGAATGGTCACAGCTAATCACATGCACATGTCATGTGATTAGCTGTGACCAAATCACAGCTAAGCACAAAAAAAAAAAAAAAAAGCTGAATGAATCGATTTTCATTCAGGTAAATGCTTGCTTATAGCAAATTGTGTAAAAAAAAATAAAATAAAATAAAAATAAAAATACTGATCACTTCCCCAAAGTAGTACAATGTTACTATGGTAACATTGTACTACTTTGGTCATAGTAAAATATGAAAAAAAAATCTTAAAAAAATAAAAATAAATGTAATAAAAAATTAAATATAATTAAAAAAAAAAAAAAAAATATATAATATATATATATATATATATATATATATATATATATATTTTTTTTTTTTTTTTTTTTCATACTGTCACCAGTCAGTGTCCCTGTTCACCGCCATGATGACACTGTACTGCACTGGTGACAGTATGTAAAAAAAAATAGTGAAAATAATTTTTTTCATTTTTTTTCATTTTCCGAAAAATTATGACAAAAAAATACAACTTCAAAAAACTCGCCATGCCTCTTATGAAGTACGTCGGACTGTCTACTCTGCAAAAAGGGGTCATTTGGGGATATCTGTACTATTCTGACATTCTTGGACCTCAAGAAATTAGATTGGCTGTCAGTACTTCAGGATTGATCAATATTCAGATCTATACCATAGTTTGTGAACTCTATAACTTTCCTACAAACTAAAAAATACATCCTAATTTGGGTTATTTTCACCAAAGACATGTAGCAGAATACATCTCGGCCTAAATTTATGAAGAACAATTATTTATTTGTAAACTTTTATAACAGAAACAAAGAAAAATGTGGTTTTTTTTTTCAAAATTTTTGGTCTTTTTTTGTTAATTTAGCAAAAAAAATAAAAACCCCAGCGGTGATTAAATACCACCAAAAGAAAGCTCTAGTTGTGTGAAGAAAATGATAAAATTTTAGTTTGGGTACAGTGTTGTATGACCGCGCAATTGGCATTCAAAGTGTGAGAGCGCTGAAACCTGAAAAATGGCCTGGGCAGGAAGGTGTAAAATTGCACGGTATTGAAACGGTTAAATAGTTGGCGTGACGAACTTGGAGGTATTTGAAGCTTAAATTGTACTTTATATGCTACATATATTAATGTTACATAATATATTATATTTGTATCACTTGTAGCTTTTTTTTTACTTTTTAAATCCCATTCTGAAGTTCCTTGTGCTTTATCCAAACTTGCCTACCTTTAAATAAAATATAAGATAGAACTTTTCAAGGGGTGTCATATTAAGCATCCTGTTTTAGAAAAATAAGTAAGGGGAAGTTTTCTGACAAGCACCCATAGAAAATAGAAAAATGCCTTCACAAAACAAATACATAAATCATGATAGGCAAATTGATTTAATTGCCTCCCACAAGAATGTTTCATTGGATACTCTATTGATATGTAGTGCAGTGACACATGCCACATTGTTTAGCGATAAGTTATGCTGTGGCAATTGCATGATGTCGCAAACGATAAAGAGAAAAGGAACATTACATTATTTTATACATTTCAGCCTGTCAGTAACTTTTTAGCTTCCAATTAGTCGGAAAGAAGCGCATAGCCAAAACATATCTATGGGCATCAGTCCCCTTTCAATGTATTTACAGATACAATAGTTGCAGCTGGAAACCTATTGTCCTGTGGAATGCCAAGATTTTTGGAAAATCTATTACAAAACATGCCAAAATGCACACAAGATAACAGCAACCCAAGGCAATTATGAAGTGCAGAGAAATTTGATAAAAAATACATAAAAAGGCACATAGCTATTTACAGAAGTATAGAAAAACAGAATTGATTTACTAAAGGAATACACAATGCTTACTTATTTTACAGAATAAAGTGAAGCTGTGTTTACTCCTGTAGAAACAAAAATGGATGAAATTACCTCCTCGCATAATGCGCTAGTTGACTCTAACACTGGAAGATATCCTGTGGCTTAAAAACAAGCTAGCGGAAGATGGAAGACAGATCAATCTGCGAAGAAACAATCTTTTTTTTTTTTCGAAAATTCTCTTTATTGACTTATAAAGTGGAGAACACAAAACAAAGCCTATTGGGCATACCCAGGCTTAATCAAATCACAAATAATGAAAAAACAAACAAGAAGAGAAACATAACACACAGATAAGGTGAACAACAACAAACAGATGACAACTGTACCCAATGATATCACAGGGCTTAGATATGGCAGAAGACAATTTCTGATCACTGACAACCCACACCGAGCACAAAATCTGCGACATGGAGTAGAGAACCGTAACTCGATCCTAATCAGAGCTGGAAGGGACCAATTCGAGAGAATCAATCCAGATATGCCACACCTTTGTAAATTTAGCGGGACACCCCCTAGAGTATATTTACTCTAAGTATATTTACATAGAGAGAGGACCATATTAACCAAATGTTTCCAGAAACTGGATGTGGGGGCATGAGGGGACTTCCACTTTAAAAGTATCGCTTTACGAGCATAAAAAAGCAAGAAACCAATCAAGGTTCTCATGGTGCGAGAGATAGCCAAGTACTGTATCAACCCCAACAGACAAACTTCAATAGATAGTGGTACAAAAACTATAGTTATAGAGGATATATTGTCAACTACATTTGTCCAGTACCTCTGGATAACAGGGCAGCTCCAGAAGATATGTAGAAATGTTGCTGGATCCTCAGAGCAACCCCAACATCTAGAAGGGTGGGCTGGAAACCAGGGGCAGACTGACCATTTGGAAACTCGGCACTGACCGAGGGCCCGGGGTCGGTAGGGGGCCCCATGAGTTTCCCCTGGTACCTTTTTCATAGGCTTTTTTGAGTTTGAGCAAGGACACAGGGGCCCCATGATCCCCTATTGCTCGGGTGCCCCATGACTTGTCAGCTGGAAACATCTTGTGCAGCCTCTGAGGAGTATAATATATTCTATGTAGAATCTTAAACTGAATCAATTGGTCAAGAGTGGAAACCAATTGCTGCACAGGATGCTCCCATATGTCGTCCAAATCCTCAGAGTCCAAATCAGGCACCTCTACTCGCCATTGCGCAAAAAGGTGCTCAAGACCAATATGGACTGACGGTTGCAAGGCTTTGTAAATAGAGGAGAGGGGTTTCCTCAGGAGCTCATCCCTCAGCATGGACTCACACCCGAACTCCAGGAACTGTAGTGGACTGGGAAGAGCATATTGAGCTTTTAAGGAATCAAATGTACTGAGCATGCCCCCCTCACAGGACTGCAAATACTTAATATTTTTTGATTCCCAAACCTGGGGGTCAGGGAACAGAAAGAATTCATTTAAAGAGGTGTTCAGCCATAACGGGGTGTGGGGCAACCAAACTAGGGATTCTAAAGGAAAGTGCAACCGCCAGGCCCTAAGGACTGCTCTCATAGCCATAGTAATGGGAAAAGGTGTGGCTGGACCCCTATATAACAGGTTACGGAGGGCTTCATAAGATCCCATGAAAGCTGCCTCCAATACCACAGCAGCATTGTTGGTCTCATCAACCACTATCCAGTTATGCACATGAGAGAGCAACACCGCAAGGTAATATAAGAATATAGATCAGGGCAGGCCAGGGTCTCTGCAGCACCCTTAGATTAAATCTTGGCTGCCTCGAACCCCACATAAAAAAGACTACTGCTGCATCAAATTGTTTGAAGTATTTCCGTGGAATCCAAACTGGAGTATGTCGGAGTACATAGAGGAAGGCGGGAAGGAGTTTCATTTTGACTGAGTTAATTTTACCAATGAGGGAGAGTGGAAGGTTTGTCCATACATTGCTTCGCCCTCAAGAGTAACAGCAATAAATTGAGCTTAAATATAAGTTATTCGATGAAACGATAATACCCAAATAGTTCACTGTGGAGGCCCACTGCAAGGGGGTGTCAGGATCAAGCAAAGTTTTAGCACACTAGTCTATAGAGAGAATTTGAGATTTATCCCAGTTAACCCTTAGCCCCAATAATGGCGAGAAATCAGAAATCAGGGCCAAGGCTGCCTTAAGGGATGGACCCAGATCATGGAGAAACAACACCAAATCATCTGCGTATAGAGCCACTTTCTCAGTAATAGTGCCCACCTGTATGCCCTGAACCTCGTGAAGAGGGCAGAGGAAAGAGGACACCCCTGTCTCGTCCCCCTACCCACAGGGAAGGGGTCAGAAAGGTCATCACCCAATTTGATCTGGGCTTGGGGATCATATATAAAATGCTTAACCAGGAACTAAAATGTTGGCCAAAACCCATCAACTCTAACACTTTAGACATATAAACCCAGTCAACATAGTCAATTGCCTTTTCAACGTCAAGCATGACCATCACCCATGAGGATGACTCCGCCGAACGGAATTGAATATGTGGCAAAATGCATTGCAAATTAATATCAGTAGATCTCCCAGGGATAAACCCAGTCTGATCTATACTTAGGAGAGAACGAAAGAGTTTCCTCAACCTCAGTGCTAATATTTTAGTTAGAATTTTTAAATCATAATTCAATAGTGATATGGGTCTATAAGAGGAGCATCGTAAAGGATCCTTGCCAGGCTTTGGTATCAAGACAATGTGAACCTGATACATGGAGGGGGAGGACACTCTGAGCCAATCTTTCCATGAAGAGATCATAAAGATGCTGTGCCAGATTTGAAATGTATAATGTATAATGTATACCAGTCTCCAGGCAATCCGTATTTAGTGGAATGAACGAATAGCTGCCTCAATTTCAGGGATAGTGATTTCTTTGTCAAGTTCAGCTGCATCATCTTCCGACAAACATGGCAAGGAAAGGCTCTCCAGTCTATCCCCCAAGACCATGAGATCTGGAGAGAGGCGAGGACTATAAAGAGACTGAAAGTAACTTCTAAATTCCTGCAGGTAATGAGATTGCTCTAGAAGCAGGTCACCCGTAGAGGACAAAAGTCGAGGAATTATTGTCTGTTGATGAGATTCATCTACTAAATTTGACAACAATTTGCCGTTCTTATCACCAGATTAAAACAATCTGCCCACGAGAAGGGCTGCATCTGCATAGGACAGGGACGTAAAATGTAGTTTCAGCTCCCTGCAGGCCCCAGCCAACCCGGCATAATTGTCCTCAGTAGGGAAGTCCACAAACTTAGAAACCATATTGGCAACATTAAGTTCCAACACGGAAATGGTGCTGGTGAAATCCTTCCTTGCTGTTTTAATGGCCTAGATATATTTCCCTCGTGTATAAGCTTTGAAAGCGTCCCAAAACTAACAGAGGGGAGGTAGACTGGGGATTGATTTCCCAAAACAGAGCAGGACCCAGATAACAACTCTTGTACTTTGGTGTTGCGAATCCACTTAGGATCCAGTCTCCAACATCCCCGGTGACTCCCGCTTCCCAGCTTCAACGTCAACACTAGTGGGGAATGATCAGAGATACCTGCCGGTAGGTAAGCAACCCTGTGCACTGATTTGGATAATGAACGAGATCCAAATGCAAGATCAGTTCTAGAGGCCAACCTATGAGTTGCCGAGAAACACGAGTAGTAATGTACCCCAGGATGTTGAAGCCTCCACAGCTCAGTCAAACCAAAGGCTTGGGACCATATCTCCAAAATGGACAGATGGTCCTCCTAGGGTTCGAGGAATCCAAAGAGTTGTCAAGTACCATATAAATTCACCAGCAATAATCACCTCAGAGACCTATATCAGGGCCAGCCTCTCCTGTAGCTTAAATAATACCTCAGCAGAGAAAGGCAGTAGCAAATAAACATTGACAAAGCATATTTCACATTGCAGATCTCTAGGATTAAAATATTAAATCTGCCCCCAGGATCTAAACATACCTGCACTACAGTACACTGTAAGGATTTATTCAAAAGTATAGCAACCCCTCTCGCACAACTAGAATACGTAGCATGAAAAGTCTGTTGTACCCAGGCCCTACGGATGGATAATATTTTACTGCCCAGGAGATGAGTTTCTTGCAAAAAAAGAATATGTGGTTTGTGAGATTTGAGAAATTTAAACATCAGCGACCATTTGAATTTGTGGTTTAAACCTCATACATTCCATGAGATCACTCTAAGCTCCATTAAATATCCAAGATAAGAATAAATGGAGGGAGGGCCATAGACCATCCACGTGAGCAAAAAAGGGAAATGAAGGAAAGGGCCAATAGAGGAAGAAGCCCATCAGCCCAAGAGGGGGGCCTCCATAGCCCCCTACCCACCACAAATACCCCAAATCCCGCTACAACAGAAATCTAAGGAGCATACGGTTGTCATATGCAAACTTAAACATACTTATCATAAACAGTAGTAGAACTACCCTACTGACCAGTAACCCCAACAACTGACCGATCAGTGTTATACTCTTAACAGAACTTGAAGTCCTTCCCTACAATAGCAACTAGGGTATAACAACAGGGTAGTCCCACGATCCAGACCTCTTCAGGGAAGAACTGAGAGAGGGGGAGTTAGATCATCAATAGATGGGCCAAGACCAAAGAACTCCAGAATAGGATTATGGGTCATCCGCAGAACATCTGATGGAAATGGCCCAAACCGTCTACATTCTCATGGGATAATGATTCACCGGCTAGACTGCAATTCCTTGTAAACCACAGGTCTTGCCCAAGCTGCATCCAGAGATGGATAAAAAAACAGGATATTCACCAATAGAGTAGACCAGAAAGAATGTCCATTAGCAGAAAGTGGGGCACATGGAGGTAACGCAAGGCAGAATATAAAGTAGTGCAACCAAACAGGCATGACTTCTCAGGAAACCATCAGTTACTGCAGAGTAGAAAGCCATCTGTCACATACCTGGTTGGGGAGCCAGACGTGGAGAGAAGGCGTCCTCATACGACTCCCGCTTGGAGCCCTTGATAGTAGGAACAGAGAGCGCAGAACCAGGAGTGGCACGAGTGCCGGGTAGATCTGGAGCTGGTGGCAGGTATTTGAAGACCCAGGAGATCCGGATGCAGGCCAGGTGTGGATGCAGGAACGTAGGTGCAGCAGCAAGCAGGTATGGCGGCAATCAGGATGCAGACTGGGACTGGACACCGGAGCGTGGATGCGGCAGCAGGCAGGTATGGCAGTGACCAGGATGCAGGCCAGATGCAGGACCGTGGGTGCAGCGGCAGATAAGTATGGCATCCGTCAGGATGCAAGCCAGGTGCAGGTACAGGTAAGTAGATGCAGCAGAGTCAGACAAGCCAGGTCAGTATTAAGCGAGCAGATCAAGTACAAGGGTGCAGGTAAGCGGATGGTCAGGGATAGCCGAGGTCGGTGCAGGCGGAGTTCTTTCTTAGTCAGGTCAGATCAGAATACAGGCAACAGGATCAGGTAATAAGTGCAGGGACGTTATAGACCAGAAGGCATTGATTGTACTGTATTGCGGGTTTAAATAGCCCGCCTAGCAGTGACATGGACTCTACTGCACATATGCGCACTTCCGCGCTTCTGCACATGCGTGCCCGGACGCTCCCGCGCATGCGCACTCGCACCGCCACGAGCAGGAGGGATCTGTCGCCATTGCACGCCGCACGTGAAGGCAACTGGGATATAACATACTGTATTTAATATTTTTGTCACGAAGGCATCTGCGAATATCAGTAAACGTTTTCCTTTTCTTCTGTAATTCAGCTGAAAAATCCAGGAATAGCATAATGGAAGCATTTCCAAATTGTAAAGCAGGGTGTTTCCTGGCTTTAGAAAGGATGATATCTCTGTTGTGGTAATTTAGAAAACCCACCAGGAATGGTATATTGTGCCCAGGTGGTACCCTGTGCGCCCTTTCAACCACATAAGTCGATGAAACAGATAGGGGATGAAGGATTTCTTTAAAAAATAATTTTGCAAATTCTGATGGATTCTCACCTTCCACACCCGCAGGAAGACCCAGTATCCTGACAT